TGGTTTTTGTTTGTTTGTTTGTTTGTTTGTTTGTTTTGAGACAGTCTCGCTCTGATGCCCAGGCTGGAGGGCAGTGGCGTGATCTCAGCTCACTGCAGACTCTGCCTCCTGGGTTCAAGTGATTCTCCTTCCTTAGCTTTCTGAGTAGCTGGGATTACAGGCACCCGCCACCACGCCTGACTAATGTTTGTATTTTTAGTAGAGACGGGGTTTCACCATGTTGGCCAGGCTGGTCTCAAACTCCTGATCCGCCCGCCTCAGCCTCCACAAGTGCTGGGATTATAGGCATAAACCACTGCATCTGGCTTATTTCGTGGTTTTTAATGTTATCATAAGTGGTACTTTTTTTTTTTTTTTTAAGACGAGGTCTTGCTTTGTCGCATGGGCTGGAGTGCAGTGGCTCATAGCTCACTGTGGCCTTGAATTCTTGGGCTCAAGGGGTTCTCCCACCTCACCCTCCTGTGTAGCTGGGACTACAGGCATGGGCCATTGTGCTTGGCTAAGTTTTTGTTTTTGTTTTTGAGACAGAGTCCTACTCTGTTGCCCAGGCTGAAGTGCAGTGACGTGATCATGGCTCACTGTAGCCTCTGCCTCCCAGGTTCAAGCAGTTCTCGTGTCTCAGCCTTCTGAGTAGCTGGGACTACAGGAATGTGCCATTATGCCAGGCTAATTTTTGTGTTTTTAGTAGAGATGGGGTTTTGCCGTGTTGACCAGGCTGGTCTCGAACTCCTAGCCTCAAGTAATCCTCCTGCCTTGGCCTCCCAAAGTGCTGGGATTACAAGTGTGAGCCAGTGCACCCAGCTGTGGTATTTTTGAAATGTCATTTTCCAATTGCTTGCTAGTATATAAAAATAAAGTTAATTTTTATAATTGACTTTGTATGCTCTGACTTTATTTCATGTATTACTTTCTTAGGATATTGTAGGTATACATGTCGTCTTCAAATAAGGACAATTTTATTTCTTCCTTTTTAATCTTTGTGCATTTTGTTTCCCTTTTTTTCTTTATTGCAATGCTTAAGACTTTAAACAGTGCTGAGTAGAAGTGGTTGATAGTGGACATCATTGCCTTTTTCCTGACCTTAGGAGAAAAGCCTCCATCGTGGCTGGAGGTAGTTTATAGAAGCTCATCATCAGGTTCAGGAACTCTGCTTCTAGTTTGCTGAGAGGTTTCGTCATGAATGGAAGTCGAATTTTGTCATTTTGTTAAGTGCCTTTTCTATATCATTTCTTCCTCTCATTTAATCCATTAATGTAAACTACACCGACTTCTGAGTATTAAACAGAACTTATATTCTTGGGATAAACCCCACTTGTACATTATATATTGCTAGATTCTATTTGCTTATCTTTTGTTAAGGTTTTTAGTGTCTCTTTTCATAAGAGGTAATGGTTTATAGTTTTCTTGTGTTCTTTTTTTATCTGGTTTTGCTATCAATGTAATGTTGGTCTTACACAATGAGTTAGGAAGCATCCCTTCTTTTCTGTTTGTATTTTTTCTTTTTTATTTCTGCTGCCACTCCACTGGGGTATTTTTTCTTTAAATGTTGCCTAAAATTCTCTAGTGAAGCCTAGATTCACTAAAATTCTCTTGTGAAGCCTAGTTCACTAGACTTCGTCTGGGTTTGGAGTTTTCTTTGTAGGAAGACTTTAAGAATTTAGCGTCTTTGATAAATGTAGAACTATTTTTGTTATGTTTTCTTTCATATCAGCTTGATAATCAGTATTTTTGAAGAAATTGGTTCATTTAATTTAAGTTGTTGAATTGATTGTCGTACTCTAATGTTATTATCCTTTAATTCTAGAATGTGTAGTGCCGTTTTCCTCTCTAGTATGGGCAAATTATGATTTGTCTGTTTCCTTTATCATCAAGCCAGAGTTTTATCACTTTCATTGATGGTTTCCCCACCAAAAAAAAAAATCTTCAGCCTGTTCATTTATTACTTTGTTAATTTTTTCTCTTTGCTAATTTTTTCTCTTTGCTTTCTTTCTACTTTGGTCTTAGTGTTTTTTAATTTTGAAATTTTAATTTTAATTTTGAATTTTTATATAATCATATTTTGTTGAATGAAATGCTGAAACCCAGGCAAATGATAGTGACTTTTTTTGTTTGTTTTAGAAATGGGATCTTGCTATGTTGCTTAGGCTGGCCTTGAGCTGCTAAGCAGTCTTCCCATCTTAGCCTTCCGATTACCTTGGACTGCAGGTGTGCGCCACCACACGTGGCTTGGTTTTAATTTTTACCTTTTCTTTTTTTGAGACAAGGTCTCGCTCTGTCGCCCAGGCTGGAGTGCAGTGGCTCGATCTTGGCTCAACACAAGCTCCACCTCCTGGGTTTACGCGATTCTCCTGCCTCAGCCTCCCAAGTAGCTGGGACTACAGGTGCCTGCCACCATGCCCGGCTAATTTTTTGTATTTTTAGTAGAGATGGGGTTTCACCATGTTAGCCAGATGGTCTCCATCTCCTGACCTCGTGATCCACCCGTCTCGGCCTCCCAAAGTGCTGGGATTACAGGCCTATTTTTACTTTTTCTAGCTTAAGGTAGAAGCTTACCTAGTTCTTTAATTTTAAGCCTTTTTTTTTTTTAATCTCTTTTGCCCATTTTTGTCGTATGTATTTGCTTTTTCTTCTAGATTTGCTTTTTTGAGTGCTTAGTATATATGGTGTAGTTTTTCCCCTAGTTTATTGTTTTCAAATGTTTTATACATTTTTAAGATTTGTGTAGCTAGTTATGTTACATCAGTCTTTTTAATATTTATGTCACTTTTAGAAAATCTTCCAACAATGCATGAGTTTTTGGATTCACTTGCATTCTTTTATGAATATTAATTTTTTTACATTTAAATCTTTACCTTTAATTCATTATGATTGTGGTATGGTATGAAGTGGAGAGCTGATAGTATGTTTTTTCTAAATTATACAGTTTTTCTCAATGTTTTTCATGATATAATCCCTTTTCCCAATAATTTTTAAGGGCATTGTTTTAGTCTCTATTCTTTTTCAGAAATTTCTTAGCTATTATCATGGGTATAAATTTGCTACATGAATGAATCATTTTGCAAGGTTTTGTAAAGGAATTTCATTAAGTTTATATAACTGTAATTGCATCTTTATAGTAATTTTTCAAGTACAGAACTTGTCATGTCTTTCAATTTACTTAGGTGCTTTTTTCTATCCTTAAGTAAAGCTTTATTCTCTTATTAAAGTATTACATTTTTCTTGTTATGTTTATTCTTAGATATACGTTGGCATTTCTTCTATTGTGTTTTCCAACTGGTTATTGCTAGTATATTCTTTAAATAGTTGGCTCCTGAGACAGTTGTCTTTGGAAAAAGATTCTTAGCCTGGTAGGGTGGCTTATACCTGCAATCCCAGCACTTTGGGAGATGGGGGGATCACTTGAGGCCAGAAGTTTGAGGCTACAGTGACCTGTAATTGTGCCACTGCACTCCTGCCTGGGTGACAGAGTGAGTCCCTGTCTCTAAAAAAAAAAAAAAAAATTCTGTAGTGATGGCTTAGTACTGCTTTACTGCTTTGTAATGATATTATAAGATGTCTATGTAGAAATAAAAGGTGATAGAATAAAGGTCTTTAGATATAATTGTAGGTATTCTTAACTGAATTTGTTGGCCTTACTAATTTCCTAATTTTAATCATCATCTGGATATTTTTAGTCTTCTGGCTATCATTTTCCCTCCCTGTTTTTTTGTTTTTGTTTTTGTTTTTGTTTTAAACCTCCACTTCTGGTCCTACCTTTTTCTTTGTCTCATGTGTTCGTGCCTTCCAATTAAGATATTGAGTAAGAGAGTAAGGTGTTGTTCATATTTTAAGATTATGAGCTTTACAATGACAGTGTCTTCCTTGTCCTTCTATTGATTGTATGGAGTGTTTGCATATGTATTCAATAAAAGTATTTACTTAGGTTAATGTGTAGAATTATGTAATTGGATATTTTGAACAAATTTACTCTGTATTTGGTTTGATATTTTTCAGTAGTGGAGAATTTAATGCTCTAAAAATATTTGTTTTTAAATGTAAACAATCACTACAGTTACACAACAGACACAGAAAGAATTTTATTAGTGTTTGTTTGTTCTGTTTTTTGAGACAGGGTCTCACTCTGTCACCCAGGCTGGAATGCAAGTGGTGAGATCACAGCTCACCGCAGCCTCAACCTCCCAGGCTCTAGTGATCCTCCCACCTTAGCCCCCAAGTAGCTGGGATTACAGGCACGCACCCCTATACCCAGCTAATACTGGTATTTTTTGTAGAGACGGGGTTTCGCCATGTTGCCCAGGCTAGTCTTGAATGGGACTCAAACCATCCACCAGCCTCGGCCTCCCAAAGTGCTAGGATTACAGGCATGAGCCACTATGCCTGGTCTGAATTTTATTAGTTGTTAGTTTGTTATGGAGAGAGGTGATGCTACTAAATGTTAATAATCATTTGAGAAATTCCCTCTGCTACAATATTCTAAACATTATTAGGTGTTTTTATGGCAGTATTTGTTTTTTCCTTCAGCTTTATTTAGGTACAATTTATATAGAGTAAAATTCATCTGTGTTTGATGTACAGTTTGATGACTTTGGGCAATTCTGTATTGTCACGTAACCACCACCACAATCACGATTTAGAAGTTTCATCACTAAAAAGTTTCTTTACACCTTTGCCTTGGCCTCAAACAGCCACCCCAGGGCTTTTTTACTTGTTTTAAACAATACAGTGATTTTTTAGTAGTGTATTTACAGAGTTGTGCAGCCTTCACCACAATCTAATTTTAGAACATTTCTATTACCCCAGAAAGAAACTTGTACCAATTTAAAGCCACTCCCTCTTCCCACCTCCAGTCCTAGGCAGCAACTAATCTACTTTCTGTAGATTTACTTTTTTTGGCAAATAGAATTATGTAATATGTGTTCTTTTGTGCCTGGCTTCTTTTGTTTGACATAAACATTACCAACTTTTAAGGATTTTCATGAAATAACTTTTTTTAAAAACAGGGAATGACTCTACTAATGATGGGGTCAGCAGATGCTCTTCCAGAAGAACCCTCAGCCAAAACTGTCTTCGTAGAAGACATGACGGAAGAACAGTTAGCATCTGCTGTAAGACACGCCAGATTTTATATGTTTGATACTACTTTTTGAAGGACCATTATTACAGTGTCTTTCAGAAAGTAGTATCTAAATGTCTTGAAGACTTAATCATTAATACCAAGATAGATGTTTTTATCTGTAAATAAGAGTTTTATTATTTTTAATTAGATTAAGGGAGTCCTTCTGTGGTTAAGTAATGCACAGTTAGGGTTGTTTTTGGTATTGTACACCTTACTACTGGTTTTCAGACTTCCAAGTGAATTTATTTAGGCTTAACTTATATGTATTTAGCTAATATCTGTAATAAATATGTTTCTGGCAGATAGTACTATATAAGTGTTTACTATTATTTTTGAGAAAACAGGGTCAAAGAGTAGTTTAAATGCTGGGATATTTAAATTTTTTAAATCCTTCATGTGGAAAATATATACATTTTATCCTGAATAAATGCAAAATCAGTTTAGAAACTGGCCAACACATGTGTCAAATTTTTTTTTAACACCTTGCATTTATTGAGTGCCATTCATTCATTTTCTTGTTTTTTTTTTTTTTTTCCCTTGAGATGGGGTCTTGCTCTGTCACCCTGGCTGTTGTGCAGTGGTATGATCGTAGCTCACTGTAACCTCAACTTCCTGGGCTTAAGTGATCCTCCCACCTCAGCCTCCTGAGTAGCGAAAATTGTAGGCGTGCACCACCATGCCCAGCAAATTTAAAAAAAAATTTTTTTTTTTTTTTTTTGGTAGAGACAGGGTCTTGCTGTGTTGCCTAGGATGACCTTGAACTTCTGACCTCAAGCTATCCTTCCACCTCAGCCTTCCAAAGTGCTAGGATTACAGGCGTGAGCCACTGTACCCAACCTTTTATTTTGCTTTTTGTTTTGAAGTGTTTCTATGCATGTTTTGCCTATTCTCTTCTCCTGATAAACCTGCCAAAAAGGCAAGACTGGTATGATTATTCTCTTATTTTTAAGAAGGAAACTAAAACATAATATGATGGCCAGCATGATCCAAGTAAACATTTTTTGGAGGGGAGAAATAAAACTGTTTCTTTAGAGTGAAGGCAGAATATAAATTGGTAGAAGCTAGTAAATGGTACTTGATTCAAAATGAGAATTTTAGTGATTTATATATGTCATGTCATTTTGCAAAAATGGTTTAATGATTTAATCCTTTTTTTTTTTTTTTTTTTTTAAACTAGATGGAGTTACCATGTGGATTGACAAACCTTGGTAACACTTGTTACATGAATGCCACAGTTCAGTGTATTCGTTCTGTGCCTGAACTCAAAGATGCCCTTAAAAGGTAAGGCTGCAGTCTTGTTTGGGTAAGGGATGTTCACATTTGGGTGAGTAGTATTGTTTTGTTTTGTTTTCTTTAGCATCTTAATGAGATATAATTAATTTATTATACAATTCACCGTTTTAAAATGTTTAATGATTTTTACAGTATTCACAAGTTTGTGCAACCATCACCACAGTCAATTTTAGGACATTTTCCACCTCCCCCAAAAGAAGTGTCATACTCACTGGCAGTCACTCGTTATACCCTTTCACCCACCCCTAGCCTTAGCCAAACATTAATCTACTTTCTGTCATAGATTTGCTTATTCTGGGCATTTCATATAAATTGAATCAGAATATGTGATCTTTTTGTGACTGACTTCTTTCATTTAGCATGTTTCCGTGGTTCATTCATGTTATAGCATATATAATACCTCATTCCTATTTTATGGCCGAGTAATACTTCATTTTATGTATATATCACATTTTATTTATCCATTCATTTTGTTGATGGAAATTTGGATTGTTTCTCCTTTTTGGCTGTTATAAGTAATACTGCTGTGAACGTTCATGTTTTTTGTGTAGATGAACGTTTTCATAATAGTAACTACGTTTGACGTTTTGAGGAACTGCCACAATGATTTTCCAAAGCGACAGTACTGTTTTACATTCTCACCAGCTATGTGAGAAGATTGCCAGTATTTTCTGTCTTTGATTAAGCCATCTAGCGGTGTGAAGTGTGGTATCTCATTGTGGTTGTCATGCACATTTTGTTTTAGTGACTAATGATGTTGGGCATCTTTTCATGTGCTTATTGGCCATTTGTATATCTTCTTTGGAGAAATGTCTGTTTAAATCTTTTGCCTGTGTTTTAAGTGGGTTGTCTTTTTAAAAATTCAATTGTGTTTTTACATATATGCAAGTTCTTTACCCAATGGATAATTTGCAAATCTTTTCTTCTATACTATAAGCTGTCATTTTACTTTCTTTTTAAAAAATTTATCTTTTTTCCTAAGTCTGTTGTATGCAGTGTCCTTTTACTTCATGATACGTTTGTATTGCAAATGTTTTTTAATTTTGATGTAGTTTAATCTTAATTTTAATTTTTTCTTTTGTCACATATGCTTTTGGTTTCATATGTAAGAAGCTACTGTCTAATTCTAGGTTACAAAAACTTACTTCTTTGTTGTTTTTCAAGAGTTGATATACTTTTAGCTCTTCTATTGAGGCCTGTGGTTAATTTTTATGTACGGTGAGAGAGAGGGAGGTATTTGCCTATTCTTTTGCATGTGTATATCCAGTTCTTCCAGCATCATTTGTTGAAGGCTGTTGTTTCCCCACTGAATTGTCTTAGCACCTTTTTTGAAAGTTGGTTGATCATAATGTATAGGTTCATTTCTGGACCCTGGATTCTTTTCCATTTATATATATGTCTATCCTTAGTACTGGTTTCAAAAAGAAAGAACATTTTGTTTTTATACCATCGTATGAAAGGAAAAGAGTAAAGAATTAATTACAAATGTTTCGAGAACCTGTGAAATAGTCTACAAATAAGGGTCCTTTCTTCCAGTGAGTATAAATGTAACTTAAAAAATATGTAACTTAATTCTGACGAAATTTATACAACTGTCTTGATACATAAATTGTCAGTTCTTTATGACAGAATTCTGAACTACAACTTGGATTCTAGACAGCTTTATGAATATTGATTTTTGTTTTTTCCCTCAGTCTCTTGTGAAATGTTGTGATAGAACTGAGCAGAAGAGAAGGGAGAGAAGGACTGTGCAGAAATCTGAAAGAGTGACTTTAAAAGTTTTCTACATTTCTCTGAAGTGAATAGTTGTCACGTATTTATGAGAAACTGCATAGATTACAGCTGATGTATTATCAGTGAGCAAGACACAGTATCTGTCTTCAGGGCACCTACAGTCTAATAGAGAAAGACTATCAAGTAAACAGGTACTGTTTCAGAACTGCTTTGATGGGAAATGTAGGCTGCTATGAGAACATCTAAGGAGGTTCATAAGGGGTATCTAAGGATAGTTTGGGAAGACTCTTAGAGTAACTGGTATTTAAACAGTTAGGTATTATGCCAGCCTGGATGAGAGGTTAGGGAAGTGTAAGAGTGGACTGGAGGAAATAGTATTTAAGCAAGCATCTGGAGGCAGGAGACTGCAGCATACTCAGTGCAACTGCCTGGAGAAGAATGGATATAGAAAAGGTGCTAGATGGGAGATTAGCAGGGGCCAGCCAGAAATCTTGAAGTCATTTTTAAGAAGTGTGGACTTTGTGTTGTGGACGAAGAGAAGCCATTGGAAAATTTTAAGCAGAGTACTGACATTCAAATTATCCTCTGAATTCTAGGTAGCTAAGATTATTATTTTGTTCTTTAATACAGTTTTTATTTTAATTTTGCTTTAAAAATTGCCTGGTGAATCTTACTGTGTCTTTTATATATATATCCCAAAATATTGATTTATTTTACCCTTTCCTCTTATCCTTGGATGATAATACTGCTTGGGGCAAGAGTCTAGGTCAAAGCCATTTTTCCTCAGTGACTGGGAGTTATTTCTCCACTATTTTTGTGTGTCCGTGCTTACTGATGAGAGATCTGACATCAGTCTTGATTTTTATTCTTTTCTGTTAGTAGCTTTTAGGGTTTTCTCCTTTTTTTTCTTTCCCCCAGTGCTCCAAGAATGTGAGAGTGTGGGTTTTATTTATCTTACTTAGTACTCAGTAAGCACTTTCAGTCTGAGGACTCTTGTCCCAAACTCTAGGACATTTCTTGGTCATTATTTCTTTAGATACTGCTTCTCCTCTACCTGGTTTCTTATACATATTAAAATTTCTAGATCTGTTTTTTAGTCTTCTAACTTGTCTCCATGTTTTAAATTTTTATAATTTTATGTGATGTGCTCCAGGAAAATGCCTCAGTTCTGTCTTACATTTTACTGATTCATACGTCTGCTTTGTTTCATTGCTTATTTATCATGACCTTCTGTTCTTTTTGTAACTCCTTATTCTTAATTTTTGAATCTAAATCCTGCTTTTATTTTTCTGAGGCTCTGAAGTATTTTTGTTTAAAGGTTTTTTTTTTTGTTTTCCTTGTTTGGCCTTTTAACTCTGTTCTTTTTGGATGTAAGGGTTGTTCTTCCCTCATTTGTTTGAAGGTTGTGTACTCATATCATGCAATCATATTCTCTTCCTTAAGTCTCAGTTGCAAATTATCTGAATAGGTAGTTTGCTGGGGTAGCTTTCTGGCTAGCACCCGTGGGAATGGCTGGTGGAGATGGCCTTGGCTCGCTTCCAAGATTTCCTCTTCACTGTTTTCTTCTTGGATGCCTTTTAGGCTCCTCCTGGGAGAGCGCTCTTTTATGTTTTGGAAAGAGTTCCTTATAAGCAGGGAAGGTTTCATCCTGTGTGGTTCCATTTTCCTGAAACCAAAAGAAGCATTTTTTGTTTTTCCTTATTTTTAAAAAAATAAAAAGTGAAAGTTACTGTTTTTGCTTTTTGGTTTTTATTTTTAGTTTTTTTTTTTGGTTTTTTTTTTTTTTTTTTTTTTTGCTCTAGCAACCTCTGATGCCAAACAAAAGAAGTAGTTTTTGAATTCTAAATTTTCTCAAGAGAGTGCACTTAGTAACCTAATTGATACAAGATGTCGTGGATGGTAGTATGTCTTTGGAAAAATGGCACTGATAACAACAAGAATGAAAGAGCAGAAAACCATTCCATGAAAGGTGTTTTACAGCTGGAGATGAGGAAGATCATCCTCACAAATACTTAGCAGAACTTGTCTTTGGCAGGTTCTATAGAGTGGGAGGTATGGGTTCTGAGTGCGATGACTCGTGCCTGTAATCCCAGTACTTTGGGAGGCCGAGGCAGGTGTCTCACTTGAGCTTAGGAGTTTGAGACTAGCCTGGGCAACATGGCAAAACCCCATCTCTACAAAACAAACAAACAACCAAAACAAAAATTAGCCAGGCGAGGTGGTGTGTGCCTATAGTTCTAGCTACTCAGAGGCTGAGGTGGGAGATTGCTTGAGCCCGGGAGGTCGAGGCTGCAGTGAGCCATCAGCTTGCCACTGCACTCCAGGCTGGGCAATAGAGTGAGGCCTTGTCTCAAAAAATAAAATAAATAAAATAAAATAAAGTAAAAGAAAATAATAAATAAGTGGGATGTTTAATGATGGAGAGTAGAAGGAAAGTGTATTCAAGAGAAATAGACTGGATTAGCTTAAGAGGCAGTAAGGACCAAGAACTATAGCCACAGGTAAAAACAAGGTTTGAAATGGCTTGCTTAATGCCGCCCAACAGTAGAATCTCATCATACTTCTGGAGTTAGGTTCTCAATTTAGAACCTAGAGTGAAAACTATTATGTTACAAAAAATCATCCCAAAATTCTATACATTACTCCTCAAAAGACAGTATCACATTGCCATATCTGTTGTATTGGAGACTAGCAAGCCCCACCTCTCAAAGCGTACCCAGTTTCATCTTTTTTTTTTCTCCCTTATTTTTTTTTTATTTATTTTTGAGACAGAGTCTCACTCCCTCACCCAGGCTGCGGTGCAGTGGTGTGATCTCAGCTCACTGCAGCCTCCGCCTCCCAGGCTTGAGCAGTTCTTCTGTCTCAGCCTCCCAAGTAGCTGGAATTACAGGTGTGTGCCACCATGTCTAATTTTTGTATTTTTAGTAGAGACAGGTTTCACTATATTGTCCAGGCTGTTTTCAAACTCCTCACAAGTCATCTGCCTGCCTCAGCCTCCCAAAGTGCTGGGTTTACAGGCGTGAGCCACTGTGCCTGGCTGAAAATATTTATCTTTAAACACTAGAGTCTCATTCAGTTCAGTGAGATGCTCATATGAGAGGCATGCAAGAACTGAGACACTCGGAGGGAACAGAAAAGCCCCATATTTCATCTCACAGCTGTCTAGGGGATATGTTCATTGTGTGAAATTGCGTGTGGAATTGCGTATGCTACTTAAAATTATTTATTCTTTTTAGCTTGTTGAGGGCTTATCT